ATCATTTCTTATCCTTGCCATAAAATCTGTTATTTTGGATGTGTCAGTGTCACTAAAACTGTGATGCATTGTGGGCTATGGCAGCGATAGACTGGTACCCGGTCCTACCTCTCGGCTTAGTTAATCGATGGGTATCGAGGTGGGACACTGATCCACTGACCTCTACAACCTGGACAGTTCATTGGCCCACAGAAGCGAGGTGGTGGGTCCGCCATGTTGCACTTCCGAAATACAGGTTTGTGTACAATGCGACTGCAAGTTTTGTTTTGAGGAATTTAATCGTTAAAAATGCCTACATGTTCTGCAATCAACTGCTCGAACCGATATTATAAAGGATGTGGACGGACATTTCATTCGTAAGTTCAACTATGTTTTCTATGTATTTTAAAAGCAGGTTGGAAGTTGGAAGTAGGCCTAGTTAGCGTCTAGCGCTCTGTGTACAGTGCAGTCCCATGTGTTGTATTTCATGTACGAATGGCATAATGGCAATGCAATTCAATCTGATTCTGATCATTTCATTGCTGATAGGCGATACCATAATCTATAGCAATCCAATGCCATGCTATGCTATATTTTGGAGTAGATTTCGACTAGACAAGTTTGACAAGTTTGACAACGAGTGTCTTACTGTACCCCAATAGAAGACAATTTTTTTGACAGATGTCAGATGATCAATTGAATTTAATTTAATTAAAAATACTGGAACACTTTTTACAGTCACCCCACCCTGGAAATAAATCTTCTGATGTAGTGTGTAGACTAGTGTAGATTATTCTACATCTAGAATTTAATTTACTTCTTATGTTTACATTTGCTGCAGGTTCCCATTCAGCCGCCCGTCTGTACTTGCAGTATGGATGGGCAATATGAAGCGAGATTTGTGGACACCCAACAAGAGCTCTGTACTCTGCGCCGATCATTTTAAAGAGACCTGTTTTGACAAGACTGGGCAGACAGTTCGTCTTACGCAGGATGCTGTCCCTACAATATTTGATTTCCCGCTTCATCTTCAGAAGGTACATTAAATTGTATATGTTACAAACATGTATTCTCTGTATTATCTACGTTTGCTTTAATAACACCTTGTTCAAAACATTCAGTTTTGAGTAGCCAAAGAGAGATGAGAATTATCCTCTTCTGGAGTAAAAGTTGATTAACCATGTGCCTGTATTTAAACTGAAGACTTACTAAAGAAACTGTTAATATTGACATATTGTTTCACTTTATCTTTATGAATGTTGTGAAATAATCCCTTGTTATGTTGGAAGAGAATTAATTTTGAAATAAATTGTATACATCATGTATTAAATATTTATTTGAGAAATCTTTACTAAAGTATAGCTTCGTCTACACGACGAAATTTAACTCGAGTTAAGCGTCTATACGGGGCCTTAACTCGAGTTAGCGTTAACTCGAGTTAGCTTAACCTCGCCAGTCGATCGAGTAGACGCTTAACTCGAGTTAGTGAATAGTACATAACTCCACAATAGGCAGCAACACTTGTACTTAGTGTTGACATCCGGGTATTCGAGAGTCGCTATCGGGTGTTGTCGTGTAGACGCTACATAATCGCTAACTCGAGTTAACGCTTAACTCGAGTTAAGCGTCGTCGTGTAAACGAGGCTTATATTTTAGTTATTTAATATTCTTCTCTTTTTTTTAAATATTATATTTAGGAGATATTTTTTTATTTATTCCTTTTGTACAGAATTCGCACCAACCAAGGAAACCCCCAAAAGAAAGAAGTGACGATACAGTAAACAACCTCCCAGATACTGCTGACGTACCACAGTCTCCAAGACCTTCATTTCTTGAGGACCACTTCTACTCGATACGAGATAGTCCAAGAGGGGTAAAGCGGAAGTTAACAGCTGCAATCGATCGTATTGACAACTTGGAAAAGCGGTTGAAGACTACACAACAGAAGTCTCGCCGCTTGAAGAGAAAGGTGTCGTCCCTTCAAGAGATTGTTGTAACCCTTGAGAAAAAGAATCTAGTGTCTGCCAACGGGGCAGAAATGCTGTCTAAGACTTTCTCAAGTGTTCCAGCAGCCCTAATGGAAAGGATGGTGAAAAACAAACTGGCTGGGAAGATTAGACGTGACACATATCCACCTGAATTGCGGGCGTTTGCTCTGACCTTAAACTTTTACAGTGCAAAAGCATACAGCTATGTTAGGAAGTCATTTGACTTGTCATTGCCGCATCCGTCAGTCATCAGGAGATGGTATTCTGGGATTAATGGCGAGCCAGGTTTTACACAGGAAGCGTTTACTGCTCTGGAAGTAAAGGTGGAGGAAGCAAATATGCGAGGAGAGAGTGTAGTTTGTGCCTTAATGCTTGATGAAATGGCCATTAAGCAGCACATCGATTGGGATGGGTACAAATACCATGGATATGTAGATGTCGGAGTGGGGGTCGAAGATGATACCACGCCAGCAGCCCGAGATGCCCTTGTCTTCATGGTCGTGGCGCTGAAGAGTAATTGGAAATTGCCTATCGCATATTTCCTAATTGATGGCATGTCAGGCAAGGAAAGGGCCAATCTTGTAGAGCAGTGCCTGGTTCGTTTGAAAGATGTTGGTGTACACTGTGTCTCGCTCACTTGTGATGGTCCATCTTGTCATTTTACCATGCTTGCGGCACTCGGAGCATCAATGACTCTTCCAAACCTAGAGCCTTCATTCCCACACCCAGCAGATAACAGTCATCGTGTATTTGTTCTGTTAGACATATGCCATATGCTAAAACTTATAAGGAATACTTTGGCATCAGGTCAAGTGATCACTTCTCCCATAGGACAGAAGATTTCATGGACAGCTATTGCAGAGCTCCATAAGGTGCAAGAGGAACAAGGACTTCGCCTCGGGAACAAACTGAGAGCTTCACACATACAATGGTACAGGCAAAAAATGAAAGTCAATCTAGCGGCCCAGACAATTAGCTCAAGTGTTGCAGACGCAATCGAGTTTTGTGCGAAAGACTTGAAGCTTCCCCAGTTTAGAGGGTCAGATGCTACAGTGGAATTCATAAGAATTATCGATCGACTTTTCGATTTGATGAATTCTCGGAATCCTCTAGGTCGCCACTACAAAGCACCTCTGAAGAAGGAAAATGAATCTGAATGGCGGGACTTCTTACAACAAGCATACACCTACTTGTCTCAACTAACACACAACAATGGGGAGCCAATGCATTGCTCACGGAAGAAGACGCCTTTCATTGGGTTCATGGCTGGCATTCGTAGTATACAAGGACTGTTTGACTCGCTCGTGAAATCTGAAGCTCCTAAATTGAAGTATCTCCTGACTTACAAGCTGTCTCAAGACCATATAGAGCTCTTCTTTTGTGCGGTCAGATCTGCTAATGGAAGCAACAATAATCCCACTGCACGTCAGTTTGCATCTACCTACAAGAGGCTCCTTGTTCGTCATGAGATACAAGGGCAAAACGGAAACTGCACAGCACAAGGCAAGACACCAATCCTGTTTGTATCCAGTGCCAAGCCATGCATCAAAGCAGGAAACCTTGATGAAGAACTGGAATGCAGAGACATGCTACTTCTCCGCAAGTATGATCTTGAAGAACGCCAGCCATGCAAAGATGAGCACGATTACCTTGACGCACCTAACATCTCTGAACTGTCATCCGTTAAGCATGCAGCAGTCGGGTATATCGCAGGGTATGTGGTACGAATGGCTAAGCGAAGAACACCATGTCCTGAATGTCAAGCTGCTCTGACGTCAGACAAGGTGAATGCAGGTGGTGGTCTGCTGACGAGGAAGAATAGAGGGGGGCTCATCAAGCCACCAGAGGATGTTGTAAGAGTATGTAACTCCACAGAACGTTGTTTTCAGAGACTTTTACACACCACTCAAGGTGCTTTACCCCAATCTCATGGCATTTCATTTGCCCTGGCAACTGCTGTTCTGGACGATGTCGCAGGAAAGCAGATTTTTGTCCAGCTGAGTGACCACATGTATGATAGTCCGCCCGATCACAATCATATCTTTGTTTTGATTAAGTGTATAGCATCATGCTATGTGAAAATTTGCATGCATCATCTGGCCAAATGCTGTAATGAAAAACTTGGTGGACCCAAAATAAGGAAGCAGCTGTCAAAGTTGATCTTGTTCAAACATCAGTAAGTGAACACGATTGTGAGTTCAAGTAATCAATTTAAATTTTGTGTCATACTCACGTACGATTTCAAAATGCTTTTCCAGGTAATTCCACATGGGAGAAAATTACTGGGGAGATACTTTTGTTTTCCTTTTTCAATTATTGTTTATGATTGAGAAAAATTAAATTGTAACAATATGCCCAAGCACTGAGGTGCATGTATTTCTGTTGCAGACATAATTTTCATGTTTATAATTTGAGCTGGCTGTCCATGGAAGATCTATGTTAAAAATTAGCACTATGCTAAGTGTACACACATAGCGTAACATGGTTGAAATTCCCATTACAGCTACTGTTGAATTGCCCTGTACAATAAACCGGTAAAATATAAGATTGAGAATTAATTTTACCTCATATTATTTTTTTTATTCTAATGTATACAGTTCAAATACGTGCCAGTGATAAGATATTTTTTGCTACTATAGAGAAAAAAAGAATACAGTGATTAGAAATTATTCGTAGACCATTTAAAACCTTTGCCACATCTCAAGTGCCTTTTCTTTTATCTTGAATTCTATATGGTTTAATGTAAAAATGTAAAAAAATTCAAAACATCTTGCAATCAGGCACATCATTTACAAATGTACTGTTTATTGATCTATTCATTAATCAGTTCAGAAATTTATTCATTTATTAAAGCGTTTTATTATTTATTTACGAATCATGCATTTTTTGAGACTTATCCATATATACATGTACATAATAGATGTTCTTCTGCAGCATATACAGTTACAAATAAGTGTCAAGACGGGAAGTAGGCATATTCGAATTACAGGGATGATAGAAACAGAGAGAGAGAGAAAGAAAGAGACAGCCATTAGAAAGAGAGAGAGAGAGAAAAAAGATACGGTGAGAATGTGAGAGAGAGAGAAAGAGAGAGAGATAGAGTGACCAGTTAGAATGAGAGAGAGAGAGAGAGATCAGTTAGAAAAAGAGGGAGAGAAAAAAAAAGGTACAGTGAGAATGAGAGACAGAGAAAGTGAAAGAGAGAGATAGAGAGAGAGAGAGAGAGAGAGAGAGAGAGAGAGAGAGAGAGGAGGTATTGACTAANTCTTTCGCCAGTTAGATGATCTAGCTATTTAGCGGGTGATTGCGGGCATACGGACGGTAACGTGAGAAGGCGAGACACGGAGAGTAATCGCTGCTCGGATAGGTCGCAGTCCTGACATGTACATATGCCTTAAGTGAAATATAACAATTAGCTCGAACAGCACGCAGTTGCCAATAATAACGAGCAGGCGATGTCATGTGGCTTTCTGTGAAGGCGCACGCTTGAAGAGCAAGGCGTATGCTCACGTCGACTTCACTAGAGCCCCGCAACAGGGCGGCTCTCATTCTGCCCCATCTCTCTCTCCCTCTCTCTCTCTCGTAGGCTCGTCGTTCTCGCCTCCCTCCTCACTCCTCGTCTGAGGCTCTTTGACATCCTCCCCGCTTAGTTTCGCAGGCTTTTTTCGCTCACTCGCTATTGCTAGTATTCTCTCTCCCTCTTTCTCTCCATCTATCAATCTCTAAAAGATCTACTCTTTTTTGTCTGCGCGCACGAAAGCGAGTGTGTGCGTGTGCGTGTATCACGTTCTCTCGCTCTCTCCCGCTCTCTCTCTCTCCCGCTCTCTCTCTCTCTTTCATTGTTACTAACTGTCTGTCTCCGCCTGCTGTGACTTTTTCGTGCTCCTAGACTCACTCTTTTTCCATTTCTTACTATTCCACGCTA